TCTTCTGAAGACCAATGTTAAAAGGAATAGGAAATTTCCAGTTGTTACCAATATGCATCATAAATGTTATTGACTAAATTTAGCAAACCAACACCAGCAGAGTAGACAGGAAAACAGAGCTCAATTAATTTTCAGCATCACATGGCCTTCATAATCTACCTTCAAAGCTAAACGCAATGTTTACTGACACTTTGATTTCCAGTTGGGATTTCCTGCTTTCACAAGAAGCAGCTCAATCACTAGTGTTGTATTATACAGATTTGAGGTGAGGGAGTATAATGTGACTGAAAGAACAAGGCTGATGTGTAAAGCATGGGACTTGATAAGTCTGTTAATCTTTCTTATTTTAAAAAACTTTCTGGCCCATAAAACAGTCTTCAGAAGAGTTCATGTACAAAGTCAGGTGGGAAGGATCTTTGACACCTATTCTTTTTGATCCTGACTCCCTGTTTGTTCTGTTTAAAGATGTTTTTGCAAAAATTATCTTTCCAACATTGTACCACTTCTTCATCTTTAAATAAATTTTTCATGGCACTCCTTTCCATACCTTTTGGTAAGATGTAATCTTGGTGATACAAAAACAGGAAGCACAACTTTCCCCATAAAACTTTCTAGAATTTGACTACCTAGTATCTGTCAGGACATGAGACAGAATTGTCTGTTTCATTGGTCTATTATATGAGATTTCCTCTTAATTAAAACCTTTTGAAATGCTTTGTGAGTAGGACAAGTCACAAAGAGCTTTCTGCTTAGTGGGCAGATACAAACATCATATTGAAGAGAAGGGGTGAAAGATGTGCTGCTGATAAGAAATGCAGGATATTGTGGGTCATGCCTATAAAGGAAGTAAATTTTCAGCACTGTTAGGCTGTCTGACAACAGAAAACTCTATGGGTGGGTTGCAAATGTCTCCTACAGTCCTGCCAGACCCAGAGTTGTGACTTGGGGACTCATAGGTTGTATGTCTATTTCTGCTAACAAGTGTCTGTGCCTAGTGAAAGGTGACCAGGTATGTTGAAGACGTGTGAAGCTCAGAGAAGAATCTCAGCTGACAGAAAAAGATCTTCTGAGTCCTTGGGGTCAGCTGCTATGAGGCTTTGCCAGGAAAATGTGCCTTCTCTAATTAGTGGGACTATAGTGCTGATACCTTTCTGGCTGTTTGCTTTAGATCTTTTAATAGTGCTTCTGTCCCGATGGTAAGTTCCTAGCATTTCATCCAGATGTTATCATACAAATGATATCTGAACTGAAGCCTCACAGGCTGGTTTACAAATTGTTGTTTTGTAAAGATGTAGTTGGACTGCAGCAGATGAAGACAGCTTCTAATGAAAGATATTGCTGTGCCAGAACATACCTCAAGACAAATTCTAGGCCCAACATGCATAAGGTCTTATTCCAGTGGCATACAGCAACCTCCATACCCTTAATAAAAAGTCATCCTTACAAGAGCATCAGCCAAGGGCAAGATCAATCAGACAAATGTGGAGGGAATTACACGTTTTAATGTTTTTTCTGACCAAGAATGTGCTTTGCAATCACAAGGAGTATTCATGATGCTTGGGTCATTTTGCAGAGCGTAACTACACAACTGCTTGGTTGCCGTTAAGTCTCCCACGCTCATACATGACTGTGCTGTAAAAACGCGAGACAAGCAGTGAATTACAGGTGATGGTTGCAGGATGACTAGATAGGCCTCCACAAGACACACACCTATAACTTGCTATTCACAGGGCTGCTCAGTACATGAGCCAGCCTGCTGTACTATATCACCCTTCCAATAAATGGAAGTCAAAATATAAAGTTGCTATATACTTGCTCAGGGACACGAAACTGGTAGGTGTAATGATCCAGGTACATAGCCTGCTGACACACTGTTAGAGTCAATGAAAGACAAATAAAAAAATATATGTGGGTAGACCTTAGCAATCTTAAATATGTCAATTAAAAAAGAAACAACTCTGGATAAACGTGTGGTAAATTACTTCTGATTCCCTTTTGGCTGGCTGGAAAAAAAATGCCTTTTTCACAGTTGTAGGTGAGGGAAGGGTATTGACACCTATGGTCACCATTAACACTTCTCAGGGCCAACAAAATTCATCTCTCCTTGCTAGGAATAAAGTCACCTTGAGAGGCAACTATCAGATACTAAATGAGCTGAATGAGTGACACTTCTTAGCAACTGGTGCCTGCAAGTTAGCTTTTCAGGTTTGTATGAGGAAATCTTGGTGTACTAGGTGGCCTTCATGCAAGATGAATCACTTCCTTTCAGTGAAGCAGCCTGTTAAGGGCAGATGGCAGCATCCCCCTGTGGATCTGTGCTGGGCTGCAGAAATCCAGCTCTGGGGGCTTTTGGTGCCAGAGGAGGCAGCCCCCACTGCCACGCTGCTCCCCCCCCCCACCTCGTCTGGGGTCCTTATCAGCCGCATGCCCTGAGGAGTGGTGGAGGCTGGAGGGATTGCAGGGGTGAAGCCAGGGAGGACAGTTATAGGCTTCACCATTTGTTTTAGTTTTGGAGTTAACTGCGAGGAGTGAAAGCTCTAATGGCTCTGGGGCCTGTGAAGCATTTGATAAATATTTGTCTTCGAGGGGCCTCACCCTGCCCAAACGTGACTGCATATTGAGAGGGCACATGAACTTGTGGCAACAGATGTCTATTTTGCTGGGATGTGCCATATTTGACAGAGTGGCCCATAAAGAGTTAGCATGAGGCTGAAGAGCAAGCATTGTTGTTTGCTATAAACAAACTTTACTTAAGTGCCTATAATTGCAGTGTTAGAAGGTTGACCAGGCCTACATGGTAGCAGGGGAGGAAAATAATGCTTTTATCTGTTCTTGCAAACAGCTGGAGACAGATAAAAGTGGAGACAGTTTTAACCTAAGCAAAGGTTGTGACTGTGTGCTTTCCTTTGTTCCTCAGAGCTGTTTTCTTCCTTCTTAATTATATTTTTATTTGTGAGTGAGATTGTTCATGGGACTGCTTCTGATTTTTTTTTTCCCTCTTCCTTTTTTCTTTAATATAAGGAGATACCTGTTTCTCCTCAAACTCAACTTCTATGGTTGCCTCTGCTTGAGAGGTATTCAATGACAACAAACTGTGCTTCATTCTGCCTACTTATGGCAACTTCCAAAGCCCCCACACAAAGTGCAGACATACATCCTCCACAACAATCACTAAGGATATGTTTTGCCATAGTATGGTAGATATAAAACAGTCCCGAAGCAATCATTCTCAGATTTTCCAGTAACGCAGAATGCAATGTCATAAGATAAAATGAACTGTTATCTTAAAAACAACAGAAACCTTCTATCACTTCTTCCAGGTACACAGGAGAAAATTTTCAAATCTTAGTCTTCAGGGTGAGTAGTGATTTACACTGGCACTAATCAGAATCACTTACTGAGCTAAGTTCCCCATGCAATGCTTTGATACTGTACCTTGCTGCTTCTAATTAGATGCCTTGGACTGATGTTTTGGTGCAGCAGGAAAACGTTGCTTTGCTAGACTTTTCAATTGCTCTAATTCGTCAAGTCATACCGACCCAATAATGTATAGCTCCATCAGGGTGACTCTTGCAGGCACACAGGCTCATCTACATAAGGAGTTATTCCAGATCAGGTTTTCCTGATTACAGCTGCTGTGGATGTTATTGCAACAGAAATAGCTATTCTGTTATAAAACCTGTATTAGACCACTCTTTCTTTTGCTAATTGCAATCTTTTATGGCTCTGTATGTTTTCTGTAGGGATAAAAAAATAAGTATTACTTCAGATATATTTTTACTGTACTGTGTACTTTTCACATGTCTTGCTGCTTTCCTTCAAAAAGTAAAGCCAATTTGAAGCACATTACAAGCTGTATTGCCTACAGACGTCTCAGGTATGCTTTATGGCAAGCCAAGATGTTTTCACAATGGCATTCCTGCAATTTCAACATCTGATAAATAAAGGCATGACTATTTTCCTCCAGCTGTTCTCTTTGGTATTTAATAGTCCTAAAATGGTACCTTCTTTTCAAAGTCTGTGGGAACAGACATAGGGGTATGGACGTGTTTGTGGGAAATAAAGAAAAAAGGACTGCTTTTGGCCTTGTGTATCTTATGTAAAGATTGAAAAATCATACTCTTTTCACTCAAGTCTAGGGTGTGGAAAAGAGCAGTCCGAATCATTTGCAGTATTTAACATGAGTATGTTTTTACACAATGACTCCCTATAAAAGTCTGTTATGGCATAGTCATAGATCCAAAGGCAGCCACAATATGATGTCATTTGTTGGTGACACATCCTTCTCTGATTAATAACTGGACTGTTGTTTTGGTTTGTGGCAACAATTAAATTAATACAGAAATTTTAAGAATTAAATATATTGAACTTTTTAAAGGCATTAAGGTTTTTATACATGAATATTGTCTTTTAAGCCAACAAAATTATAAATCTGATTGTTTCTAGGTGGTAGCTCCACATTCAAAGAATGAAGGTACATTTTAGGCTTCGCTTTGCAGTTTTTTAAACGTTTCTCCTCTTTTATAAACTTGCATTACAAATAGAGTTACACTTTAGAATCATTTTATTTTACAGCCTAGAAAGACTCATATATAAATGGTATATAAATCAAGACAGGTTTCCTATACAAGAAGTTTAAAGAGGTTACTCTTTGCTGTCCTTTTTAAAAGAAGAGGATCTCCTATTTCTAGGATATGAAATAAACCCCCAAAAGACAAATAACAACTATGTGTTCTCAAGAAACATGTGCTTCCTGCCCAAGATTATGCATACGTACAATTTAGCTATAATAAATAATAATAAAAACTGAAAGACTATATAAGTTTTAAAGTTCTTCTGTATATTAGGGTTTGAAATACACCAAGCCTTAAAACCCTCCTTATCTCTTCGAGTTTCAGATCGTTCATTCTATCCTGCCCTCCTCTTACTGTTTTGTTACAGGATAGGACAAATGATAGATAAGAATTTTTAAGTTTAAATAAAGCCAAACATAAAAGCTCTTCAAAAATGAAATTGCTTTATTTGTTAAAATAGTTGTACTGCGTACAAAGCAAATGAGTATAATTTACAATACTTAAGGTATAGAACATTGTGGTTTATTTGCTTCCACTGGAAGTACAGTATTTTAGCACTAAAGAATCGTTAGAATCAGACATTGATAGTAGTAATAAAATAATAATATAATAAATATTTCACATTCATATAATCTGAATTTATAATAATCCAAGCATTTAAGTATTAACTAATACATCTTAATCTGCCTCCAACATGCAGGTAGAAGTGTCTTCTGTAGCTCACAGAAGAAAAAGTTGTATGCCTCATCGTGAAGGTTACATCAACCCAAAGATATTTCCCTTTGTCTAGTTTTACAACTACCAGCAGCAGAGCTCCATGACGATAGTGAACAGGCAAGCGAGTATAAACACAGTTTGTTCTAATCTTAGCCCATTAGAATATAGTCTGGTAATTTCCTCCTTTCCGGATTTCATTTCTAGAAAAAAAAAAAAAGTTAATGAGTAAAATATGTAAATTTTAAAACACAGGAATTTTCAACATACTTCTACCTTCCTCTGACATCTCACAGGTACTTAAGTTAAAGGTATCAGCTATTAAAGCTAATCAAAGAGGCTATTCTCAGGGGAGAGATGTGAATAGATGTCCCATCAATGATCGTTTGAGGAGCAACTGATAGCACTTATCAGGTCTTGCAGTCATTAATCTCAGAATAATCAAAAGTAAATACCAAGCAAAAGCAAGAGCAAGATCTTCACAAGAGGTATGCACTCAAGCCAGCATGCAGCCTTTTAACCCTTCCTTTAACAAGAAGGGGCTTCAGTTACTAGCACAACCCTCATGCATGTGAAAGCCACCCAGTCTCTGCTCAGAGGATGAGCAGATGATTCACTACTGCTACCTTTTCACTCCACTGCCATCTCGATTGCCTTTGTTAAAAGGACCTCAACAGCAGCAAGGAGTAGACTGCTTTTACTGAGCAGTGGAGGCCTGTTAGGTCTTTTGCTCCTGCAGTGGAAAACAATAGGGCTGATTCATAGGTGAAAGCCCAAGGAAATTTGAGCATTTAACTCTCCAGAAGAGTTTAATGAGCAAGCTGGGTGCCACACATAATTAGTCAATACAAAAGTGGTGGCTTTTTGGTTGGGTTTGTGTTTTATTTGTTTGGTGGGGGGCTTTTTGTTTTGTTTTTTTTTTTTTTTTTTTTTTTTTTTTTAATTGTCTGTGGTTGCAATGATAGGAATGTCACCTTTCTTTTGCATTTCACTTCTTTGGACTTGTGGGTTTATCACACAATAGGGCATATCCTGGGGACCCAAGAGGCTCAAGTTTTAAAATTTGTATTTACTTCTGAGTTGGTGGTATAAATCAGGAGTCACAGATTCAATGCACTGCTACTCAGACAGGAATCTGGTCACGAAAGAAGAGGCTGGTAGTTCCTTTGGGTGCAAATGAATCTTGAAGCTATTCAGGTTTATTGTTTTCCTACCCTGCTATCTAGTGATCTTAGCACAACTTAAGGAAAGTATATTAAAGCACAGCATGGAACTGAGACATCATGGATGGAGAAGGGCAAGAATATTTTGCATTGACACTGGAGAGAAAATAATATTAAACTCTTATTAGTCATTTTGGAGTACTGAAAATAGTCTGTTTCTCGGTAGCCAGTTCTCCATGGAAAATAAGTATCTGTAAAGCAACCCTTCAAGTTTTTATGTTAGTTGTTTTCAAAAATACTCAGACCTTTATACAAGGATTTTCACAGGCTGATGTATAAAGACTTGACTTAAAGTAGTATAGTGCTTTTGAGGAGGCTGGGTGCTACTACTTTACGCTGATCAAGACTATGGCTATACATTTTTTGTGGCGTGTGTTCAGTCTTAGTACTTTGTACAAAAATATTCACAAGATTGAGATACAGCTCTTAAAATAGGATTCAGCCTAGTTTTCTGCCATTTATGTGTTAAGTAACTTATGCAAGTTTTCAGTACTTGTTTCTCTAGTGTAATGCTGGTTTCTACCACCACAGCAGTTTATGCTACAGATTTTTCTCTTTCCTCATTTAAGAAAGATTTTTGTATGGTTGGATGTAGTTTAATTGTTCAAATTGTCCTGGTTAAGTGGGAAGCCATAGACAGATGTGCAGGTTTTGCAGAACACAGAAACATTTAATCCCTATAATTTTCCATTAAAATAGGGGAAAGTTTCCTAGTGCACAGGATATATAAAGATCTCAAAGTATTTTTTGTGACAGGCAAGACGGTATTGTTTACAGGCAACAGCAGTATAATTTACTGTCTCACTAATGCATTCTCTGAAGCAAAGTGGGCCACTGCAGAAGTCTAAATTGAGCACATACTACACCCTCCGAGTACCCTGCCTTTTCAGAAGGCAATTCTGTTACCCACAAGATAAAAATGGTTGATTTAACACCATTTCTTACCACAGTTTTCGTGCATTATTTCTGAGAGACAGTTCAGAGTACCATAGCCGCACCGACACAGCCAACAGCCCTTCAGCACCCAGACTCCGTGGGCAATGCTGCCACAATTGCTGCCAAGGACAAGGGAGACAGTTGGTATGTACCTGATCCCACCCCAGAAAACAACCATCCAGAGCAGCTCACTCACTCTCTCTGGTTTTGGTCTGGTTTTTACCTTTGTCGCTCATCATGTTCACAGTATCTGCCAGTGAAATGCTTTAGGCAGGCACAGAAAGTCCCTAGGATACAGGTCCCTCCGTTTTGGCAGCAGTGTCTGTTCAGTTTTTTACCTGCAAGACAATGTTACAGGGGTTATCAAGCATCCCAGGGGTGCTCCGAACCTCCTCTTTTCCCCACTAGTTCTCTCAGGTCTCTCCAGTTGCCAAAGGATCTTAAGGATATCTGGCTTTATTGTCTTTAGAGACAATAAAATTATCTGCCTGTTAGGAGTGTTTGTTCAGTTAAGCCCAGTTTGTTTAGTTAAGGATTAGAAGCAAACTACTAGGGATTACAGGATAGTCAAGAAGCAACGCCTGGCAAGTGCTGCCACAGCAGCATTATGCAGAAGTGAAATATTTCACTTTGATGGAGGCAGGTTTCAGCCACACTAACAAAAAAGGGTCATTGTCACTGGGAAGTGCCACTTATTTTTAAAGAAAGGATTTATTACTGGGAAGACTAGTTTAGTTCTGAGAGGGGAGGGGAACTCTCCCTCAAGACTCTTTCAGACTCCTGGAATTGAGTACCTATCTAAAATTTATATATGTGGAAGAAAACATAAGTCTATCCTTGGTTTTATTTTTTTTTCTTGTTAGTACTGTTGCTCTCAAACAGTTCTATCTTTCTCTATTTTTTCCTCTCTCTCTCTCTCTTTTTTTTTTTTTTTTAATTAAATATATTTTGGTCATTAAAAGTGGTAATTTTTTTTTTTCTAAAAAGAACAGAATTTAAAAAAACATTTTGTAAATCCAAGGGACAAACCCTTTCTTAATTCATAACATCCTTCCCTGTTTTCCTTTACCATCCTTTGCAGGTAAGAGATCCCCAGTTCTACCTTAAATTTTTACGACCATTTCCTAAACGGCCACGGGAATAATTTAAATGAGCAGTCACAGAAACCAAACGGCTGGAATCTTCCGGGGCAACAGTTAAAGCATTACTGTGATATATATCAAAAAGCAATTTTATGACATTGTTTAAATAAAGAATGTTACCTACTCTCTGTAATCCCGGTGAAAGGTACCAATGACCTGGAATTCTGTTTTCTGCTTTCGTAACTCTGATTCATGTCACTGTGAGCATTCATAATAGTCCCTTCGTTCTTGGGCTGCTGCTTTTGTGCTGTGGCATTGAGACCTTTCACATCTTCATGTTCTTTTTCACGGCCTTGACAAGAAGTGCAAACATGGAAGAAAAGGGTAGCTTGTAGTGAAGCAATGCATACCGTAAATGTCCAAGAGAAACACGGGAGGGCGGGGGGCGAAACACGAAATTTTCCTTACCTTTTCCTAAGTGAACAGCCTGCCAGACCAGAGTCACAGTGAAAAGAACTCTACAAAAAAAAAAAAAAAAACCAACAACAAAACAACAACAACAACAACAACAAAAAAACGCCAAAAAACAAACAAAAAAAAAACAAAACAAGGAGCTGAAGTAAATTTGTGCTAATAAGACAAACACCAAAACGAAGATGGCGGGATAGGGAGGAGCTTTTTCAAAGCTTTATCGACCATTGATAATATAAACTATAAATATTTTATGCTAGCAGTAATTCGAATTAACATATCAATAATCTCAAATTAAGTTTGAAAACTGGGAGGTGGGGAGGCAGGGTGGGGAGCGGGTGTAGAACTGGGACATACAGACTAGGTTTGCTTCCAGAAAGCTACCGATTCCATACATCTGCTGGTTGACAACCAGTCAGAAACGTCTCTTTCTCTAGGTTTCTTTTCCACAACTAGGCTGTTGCCTGCAGTTACGAAAACAGCAAAAGCAAGAGGAAAACATTAACCTTCACTTCACCCGCAGTTCCAGATAAATTTGTTCATTTCAGCTTCCCGGCCTGATTATCAACCCAAGAAAGGGCTGCTAAAAGGGAAAGCATCCTTGGCTAGAGAAGGTCCCTGGCAGCTCAGGCAGCCTTACCTAACATGCTTTCCCCAGTACATTTTCCTGCAGCCCAAAGTACCCGTGAGATCCTCCCGGTAGGCTGGCGCAGAAGGAAGAGGCTGTTGCATGCAGCAGTCTTCACACCATATGCAGCAACAAGAGAAGAAAGGATGAAACTTTTCTTTTTCTGTCCAGTTTAGAACAACGTCGGAAAAACATAGTTCCCAGCCGTACCGCTTGCTGAGCCCTCCCTGAGGTGCGAGCAGGCAGGGGCCACCTCTCCGACGTGGAACTCCCTGGCCTGCCCCTGATTTACATGCACTGCTGAAGGGTGGAGCAAAGTGGGGGCACTTACTGCTGGGGGGAGGCTTAAGGGCCCATGGCCACAAAAAAAGCCCAAGCAAGGAAGAGTTCAAGTCCAGTTTATTTCTTGATGTAAAAGGCCTTCTACCACCACATACTGCATGGGGAAAAAAAACTGTTCTGCAGAACAACAACAGGTATATAATAAACTGTAGCAGGTATATAACGAAAATTAGAAAGCCTCAGCTCTACCTACATGCCTTGTTTCTGCCAGGGTTTTCCACCAGGGGCTCTACTTTATGAAATTCTACCACTTTGCAGCACAGGTAATCCTTAGAGCCTGCATTAGAGATTTCTACCAAAAGTACTACAGAAAGAAGTATAAGGTTCTTGACAGACATTTAGTGTCTTACAAGAGCTGTTAACAAACTCCTGAAATACCTTTTGAAACTTTTTTACTACTAGCAAAATTAGACCCATTAGTGAGTATCCATAGTCTGAGTGCATGCAGTATCAGCAGATACGTAGATTTAGTTTATGATGTGTGCTGAAATGGACTAAAACACAACTTTACTATGTGTTGACAGCATTGCCAAAAAAAAGATCTGCAGCTGGATGGTGGTAAAAAAAGAAGCTCTGGGCAGCCTTTTCTGAGATGGCTCTATCTGTACCCTGAGTGCACATGACCTTTACCAAAGTGGTAACAGGAACCTGTAGCAATACATCTTTGTTTTGTTTTGGGGAGGCATGTGGAAGAGGGATGCTTTCACTATGCCAGTACAAATCAAGCTGGTAGAATTGCACTTTGGCTAGGTATATGATCACATCAGACATATGAGTCAGACCTCTAAAGAAACGGCTGTACTGGCTAAAGACATTGTCATCTCTTGTTTGTTACTCCCTGTGGCTGACACTTGCCAGCGTTGCCCCATCTAAAGTAATGGTTTGGAACCTGTGAACACCCTCACACAATTTAGTACAAAGACTGGCTTAATTTATATAAAGAGAGCTGTCTGAATGAAGTCAACCCTCTTGGCACTGAAGCAGATGGAGAATGTTCTGAGGACATGGTCTTTCATGTCTTTTGTGGGGACAGTGATCTTCAACAAGAGGATATAGAAATGCATGGCTGGAGATGTCAAATGGGTGTTTCTGCAAGGAATGCTTGCAGGGAGTGCTCTGCTGGGCTACATCAACCTTAATGGATAAGGCATTACCAGTGCTGGTACAACTGCTGACTCCAATGGATCTAAGCTCAGCTGTTTTCTTGTAGATGTAGGTTAATTCCTTTAGCTTCACGGTAACTTGTTTGATGATGTGTCTTATATTTGTTACTAATTTAAACTGATTTAGACTAAGCTATTCTTGTTCCTGACTTGTACCAAAGAGCCATGTGTTTTGGAAATGTGAGTCTGTGATATATGTTTCTGTGTAATTCAGCTAAATCAGCACTAGAAAAATTTATATGCTAACACTTGTAGGTAAGATATTTAACAGAAAGGATGTTATGATAAAAATCACAATGTATTAATCTAGGAAAGGATTGTGGTTTTCCTATCTTAAATAGCAACAATTTTCAAAATTAGATTTTCAAAGTAGATTACTCTCACCATTATGCTGTCTGCCTCTACCTGCTGTGATTCACAAGAAATTCTGAACTAAACATGTGTTAAAGTTTAGGCACTTGCTTAAAACATATCACATGTGTTCAAGTACTGTTGGGACAACAGATGCTGTTCTGAATTAGGACTGTAAGACGTTTCACACAAAAGGAAAGACATGTCATTTTTGCATGTATTCTCAGAACATGTATGTTTATCAACAAATGAAAATGCTTGTGGAAGATATTTACAATCTAAACAACTCTTCTTGCTTTCATTTGTGTTCTCTAGCTGTATAATGGGGTTAGTATTTTGACTTTAAAATGAACAGCTGTAGTTACATTTGTTTGCTGCTTTTTATTACTATATTAGGAACAAAATATTATTTTTCTGTTTGGTCTAACTGGTAGTATCATTTTAAGTCACAATATTCAGATGTTGAAACACCATGATTTAGTATCTAGTCTGTTGGTTTTCACCTTTCCATAGATTGAAGGCAGAAAATATAAACAGAGATAAGTAAACAAAGGGATATCACATTTATCGTTTTTTGTTTGTTTGTTTGTTTGTTTTTTGTTTGTTTGTTTTTTAACTAAATGCAGTGTCAATATAGTTTTCCTGAAGAGCTTTTCTGGGTATCAGATTCCCAGCCCTATGCTGGAGGTAACTTTCAAAATGGGGATGCTGGTAAAGAAATATTGATCAATTTTCACACCCTGTGCCATTTATTTAAGATCAGAAGTCATCCCCGTAACTAACTGCAAGCACTAATATCCTGGGGAACTGCGAAGCAGTTGGTAAACATTTCTCACTGTGATACCTTCTTTCTTCCTTCCTTCCTTCTCCCTGCAGCCTCACCAGCAAGGCATACATAGGAATGGGGACAACGCAGATTGCTCAAATGGCTGCTGTTGCCTGACTGCCCTATAGAGGTGAGACTGGTGTGACACTGAGAAAAAGCGCTGCTGTTTGTTGTTGACAGAATCTGCCAGAAAGTGACTGCTTCTGCCCAGGGATTTGCAAGGAGCTGCAGTAAGGGTCGATGCACCCCCTTTATCAGCTTCAAGTAAGATAAGAGTGGAGCCAACCAAAGAGCTGGTCCTGAGCATTTCGGTCAAGCCCTGTGTATGCAGGAGATGGTTAACCATTAGTTAGGGGCCTTCAGTGCTCTTAGTTCCGACAGCAGGTCAAGTAACCTATATGGATAAGGGTGGTAGGAAAACATGGTGTTACTTTATTAATTCACATGACCCCTCTTGTGCTTATCCAGGGAACTGTAGGTCTGCAGCCTGTATCTTCTGGCACTGTTTCCCAGCGTTCAAGTGGACTACTACCCTGAAAGATGAAGTGTGGATAATATGTGCTCGTTTTTGGTGTATTACTGTTTCATACATTCCTGTGTAGACACTCAGTATTTCTGAGAACTTCAGGATCAGTAGGTGCCTAAGGACTGGAGGTAGCAATGGAAAAAAAGAAACAAGGATGAGGAAAATGTGAGTGTCCCTGGCTTCCTGGGAGCTGTGCTGAAAAGCCTGCTCAGTGGTATGCAAACTTCAAGGATGGCCAATGCAGCCAAAGTGTCTGCCGACTAGAAAGGCTTAGGTTCCTAAATTCCAGTTTAGGGCTAGGACCAGATCTTTAAGCAAATTGGGCAATGTTAAATCAGTTATGCAGAATATTATGGAGAACAGTGGAAATTATTCCCCCTGGATATTTATTGAAATTTTGGGAATGGAGACTTCTGTGAAGCAAAGCTATCAGCCTGACTGACTTACAGTTCTCTCAGGAAAGGGCAGACCCCAGGCAGTCAAGTCTAAGAGCTCTCAGAGTGTGCTTAATGCATTAAGGGGTAAGGGTCCTGGATGGAAAGACCGAATACTAGCCAACCTGAGATTTTTATTTTTATCTGTTTATTTTTTGTTGGCTACAGCTGCTACTAGGGATTCTGACAGCTACCCAGGCATTCTTGCTTTCTAAAGGCAAAAACATAAACACAGTCAGACTGAATCTTTATTGTGTCACAGAACTTTCTCAGCAGTGGTTGGTCATACCAGCTCTTATTATTGTCAGGAGTTTCCTGTAGGATTGTTTAGGGGTTGCCTGTTGTTGCTCGTAATCTCTCTGTATGTATGAAGCTGGAGCACAAGAGCAGTGTGTTCAAATTGCACTGCTTCAAATGAGCAGTATAAGTGTCCTGAGCAGCTTTTTCCACTCTAGCTTAAGAATGGCTTACAATGGTTTATTTGAGATCTGCCACTAACTGACTTCAGGAAGTAAGAAGCAGGAAAATAAGACAATCCATACAGTGACTGGCATCAGTTTAACTAGTGCCACAGGTCTATGATCAGTTTAAGCAGGATAAATGGCTGCTGTTGCTAAAATGATGAGTCCCCCTCTGTCTTACACCATGGACTCGTTGTTCATACTGCCTCCCTCACACTGCCATTACTGTGTGCAACCATGAGGGAGCTGGAGCAAAGAGTTTATCTGAATGAAAACTCAGTTGGCAAAAAAAGCAATGTTAGTTTTCAGCTGGATCAGTTCCCCGATGCGGTTCATCACATGAATACTAGTGCTGGCAGAAGTAGGAGGAAGGGATAAGAAGCCATGGTGTGTGATGGGCAGCCCCTTTCTGTAGCAGAGCTGACTTATACCTGATTAAATTGACTGTGGAATTTGTCAGTAGATTTTGGTTCATAAATTTAAACTGGTGTCCCCCTCCCTAGGAAATAAACCACAGCCAATATATCCAGATGATAATGATACCACCTTCTATGCTCTCATCCTATCAGCACTAACACAGAGGAGTAGAGTAGTCATCCCACATCTCTCTGATAGCATATGGATGAAGGTTAGTACCAGCAAGATGGGAGTGATGTTACCAAATGAAAGGAAACAGATACAGAAGTTCCTTCGAGAGGGAACCTTATGCAGATATTGTACAAAGATGTAGCACTCTGTCACAGACTGACATAAATTTATGGAATAAAACCAGCCTCGTAACAGAACATCCTGTAGCTTTTCCTTCTCCTGAGTCTAATGGTTAGTCATTAAACATGATGAAAAAAATCAATATGATAACTAAAGGGTTTTGTAATGAAAATTAATGTCGCTTATGTCTTTTGTGTACAGCAAAAAAAAAAATAAATTCTGCCAGTACACAGGGAAGTGATAAGAAGATACTGGTTATCTTTTGCTGAGGGAGAGGTTCGTTGGTAAAAAACCCACCATTAACACCTAGATACAGCAAGACTGAGACTTCTTCCTCAGATAAGAGAAGTTTTAGTATTCTATTGAAGAAAAAGGAAGTACTGGGGG